CAGCTCTGGTAGGTATAGATCATAGATAATTAGTCTAAGCCACTGTTCTATTAATTGTTGTATAAATGTATGTAATTCATATATCTATATACTTAATAAATAACATGAGGCAAGATCTCACCTTAAAAAAAAAAAAAAAAAAAAAAAAATTTAATAATCAATTAGCTTGGAAATCAGTAAATCAAATTGATCCAATAATGTGGTGGAAAGGTAATTTTCAAGAGTCTGCTTCTGAATTAACAAAATTAGCATGTAAAATATTATCTATTCCAACTTCTTTAGCTGTAGCAGAGAGAAACTGGTCTAATTTTTCATTTATTTATAATAAAAAAAGACAACAATTAACTAAACTAAGAGTTTTTAAATTAGTTTACATATATAGCAATTATAGATTACAATTACTACATATTACTCAAAAACTTTATAAAAATAAAAATAATGAAACTACAAATATATTAGATATACTTAAATCAGAGAATGAAGAAAATAATAGTTTAGATAATAGTTTTTATAATAGTCTTGACGATAATTTTGATGACAAATCAAGTGATAGTTTTGATGATGAATCAAACAATGAATTAGATAATGAGTTAAATAATAAAATAAATATTGAATTAGATAATGAGTCAGATAATGAATCAAATGATGAATTAAATAATGAATTAGAAGATAAATTAAATAAAAAACTAGATAGTAATGAGTTAGATAATAAATTGCAACCTGATAATTATTTAGATAAAGATTATTATAATAATGGTAAGTAATTTTAAAATAATATAACAATTTTGATTATTAAATAGTAATTTAAATAATAACTAAATAATAATTTAAATAATAATTAAATAATAATTTAAATAATAATTAAATAATAATTTAGAATATCATAAAAATGAGATTGATAATTTAAAAGAAAGAAGTTTTGATTTATCAATAGATGATATTTTAGAAAATGATAATTATTTAGAAGATTATTTTGCAAAAAAAAATAATAATTAAAAATTATAATAGATTACTAAAGACAATATTAGTAGCTAAAATAAAAATAAAAATAAAAAAAAATAAAAATTAAAAATTATTTTTAAAAAAACTTAAAATATAAAATTTAAAAAAAAAATTTAAAATAAAAAAACATTAAAAAAATTAAAATATTAAAAAAAAACCAAAAAAAACTGTTAAACCTCTTCAAATTGATATCTTAGTAGATAATATTTGTATTAGCAGAGTTATTAGATTTAAAAAAATTATAAATAATTCAATTTAGTAGATTAACTATATTGGCAAAATCAGTTTTGAGGGATTTAACAGTAATTAAAATATAAAAATGTCAAAATTATGAAGGTTTAAATAGTTAAGATTATTAAAATATTAAGATTTTTTTATATATCTTCTTTATTAAATTTGTATTTATAATTTAATTGATGATCCACTAGTCATCTGAAGAATGATCATACAGTCAGACCTCTCTAAATGCATCTCCCCTAAATGCATAACCTCTCTAAATGCATATTAATTATCTGTCTATCAACGGGCTTAATAGATAAATGCATATTTTTTATTCTGCATATGCATTCTATTTTCCTGATCATCTATATAAATCCCTCCATAAATGCATATCACATGATTATTAGCCAATTAAAACAAGATTATATAATCCCATACAAAATAATTTTAACATAGTATATAGGCAGCCGTCAATAAAAATCAAGCAAATCTACATTTAAAAAAAATTTAATGCCTTAAATTTCACAGCTCATATCTCGATGAATTTTAAAGATATCTTGATGGTTTAATATTCAAAAGAAAGCTTAAATCATAAGCTTTCTTTTGAATATAAAACCATTAAGATATCTTTAAAATTCATCGAGATATGAGCTATGAAAGCTAAAGTATTAAATTTTTTTAAATGAAGATTTGCTTAATTTCTATTGGCAGTTTGCTTATATACTATAATTCTATTAGTGTTCTCTAAATGCAACCCTCTCTAAATGCATACCTCAGAGCTGGTCCCAA